AAAACTTCTAATTGTGGCAGTGAGAGAAGGGACCAAGAACCAGAGGTAAGCCAGTGGCAGACCCCTGTGACATGAAAAACTACAAATTACCTAAATTTTCAAACCCAAAATAATTGAATCTTCTATTATCCTGACATCTAGGGTACAAAGACAATTTTTTTTACTGAGAGAATAATTTAAAAATCATGTAAGAACATATATCTAATACGGGGGCCTTCGGTTTCTTTACTCCTTTTTCTTACATATAAGGTCACAAGTGGACACAATTCTGAAAAGATACTAGCAGTTCTGAGCATTTTTGGCTAGAATATTAATGAAATTAGAAGAATAAGTGCACAGACAAACAACTCACAATTCAACTTCTATTCAATGTTTTGGGAGAGGAATTTTTTTGTTTGGTTGATTGGGGGTTTTTTTGTTACTGTTTGATTCTTTTGGTGTTTTATTTTGGGGCTTTTTTTGTATGTAATAACATGAAAATGGTAAGACGTTTTGCTTCTGAAACAATTTTGGGTATACTGTGAGCAAATCATGCCTTTCTACACAAATACAACCTGGAACATTTATCAAATGTTTATGTTTTCCATATTAAAGACTCAAATAGGTACTGAATATATTTATATTGGCTGAGATGTATAAAAATATTTTTAAGTTATATAATATTTTACCTAATTATTATTATTAATAATAGTAATAATTCCTTTGAATGTGCCATATATTTTTTACTGTGCATCCTATATGTGGTTTTGAGAAAAAAGAATTCCTCAAAAATGGGGTTAAAATGGTTTGCTAGATTTTCCTTTCAGAGATCTTACAAAAGTATGGCCTTTGAGCATGCTGTTAGGATTGAACTTCTTGACTACTTTCTTAGAAATTTATTAAAAATACGATATCTCTCAAATCACCCTTAAAATGGTATCATTTTAATTTTAATTTCATGTAGATATTGAAACAAAGAACTTTCAGTAGATACATGATATCTAAAATATAACACATAATATCTAAAACATAATACGTAGGTAATTTCATGTTAATTTCTTCCATTTGCATGATGACACAACCCTACCAGTTTTGCCATTTATGTCACATTTTCGTTCTGGGAAATTTGGTTGGAAAATTCAGACCAGAAGAATGTGGGCTGCCTCTTCTGTTGCTGTTATAAAAGACATTTTCCTAAATTAAGAAAATAAATACATTCAATCAATGCTTCCATGATGTCAGTATTCTCAAAGAAAAATCTATTTTATTGTTATCCAAAAATGTGTTATAATGTAACCCTTGTCATGTGATTTTATGTCTTTTTTTAATAAAAATATAAAAAAAAATAAAATTTTTATATGTTGTCTATAGATTCTTCAGATAATGTTTACTACAAAAAGAATTCCTCCTAAGAGGACAATGCAGAAAGCCTGTGTGCCATTGGTGAAGTGGATTTAACCCCATAAAGCTGGTATAAAGAGAGAGACAAGAGTGAGGGAATGATCTCATAGGAGCTACTACAGACCTACTTTGAATATTTTTAAGCCCTAAAGCAACAGTATCACGTACTTCAATTTAATTTCTCCACACTGCTTTACTTTGATTATTTCAATGAGTGCACTCGACTCATATAAAGATACCAATTTCAAATGGAAAAGAGAAAATTGTCAGAAAGGAAAATTCCCTCACTTGCAAATACAAATATACTAGTTTTTGGAAAAATGTTTCTGCCATGTTGAACTTTTTTATTACATATAGAGAACAGGAAGTTTGATCGGGGGAAGAGTGGATTTTTTAGGAACTGCCAGTGGGATAGTGCATACAGGTTTACTGTAATTTCAGCTTTCTTTGGTGGACCAAGATTTAAGTATCTGTCTAGAGAGAGGATTTGTCAGACAATGTAGTATAAATGTGGTGACTTTCCATTTGGAGACAGCACTTTGTCACTGAAGAAACCTACATAAAGAGTTTACACTGCAAAGTTAGAAAGGATGAAACCTCCCCTTGGACAGTTCTGGCATACTGGAGTCCCACACTGTGGGTGATCCTTTAGGTTGCTTAAGAAATAGAATTGTTTTGTGTTGGTTTTATTACTTAGGGTGGGGAATAGTTTCCTCTAGGGCTAAACAATTTGGCCTCTGCTTGTTTTGTGCTTATCACATACATCTCTTCCAAAAATAGATTGCTTTGACCAGCACTCATCTGATTAAGGTGTAAGTTCCTTGCTCATGGTGCACTATGTTTAGTTCACATCATAAGCTTATTTTTGTAGAAAAGATTATACATATATACAATGCTGTATATTTATATTAAATTCAGAATAATGTGAACATAATGTTTAGTGTATTTTAACATTAATTCTCTTTAAGTAGAGTATTTAAAATGTCCATGTTTTTATTCTTGGTATAAAAATGCAAGCAAATAACGTTCAAAACTATTTTGAATCCCACTAATTTGAATCATTGACACCAATGACTGCTCAGCAGTGAGATGGTTATTTAGACGTTAGATGTTATACAAAAACAAAAATTAAAAACAAACCCAAACCCAAACCAATCCTCAAGCCTTTGAATATTTTTTCTTCTAAAATTTTGAATTTCAGTGAAAATGAATGTAGCTCATGGAGCTTTCACTCCCTGGCACTTCAAATGATTTTGTTTCTGTCTTTTCCCAGTTACACAAAATATGATTGAGTCTATACCTGGCTCTGAGATGCTGTCAATAGTACCACATTTGATAGCCTTTTGTACTAGGCCAAGGTAATTGTAATGTTAATAATGAAAATAAATCACAATTAGTGTATGCTCTTTGTGGCATTAGGAAAAAGTCTTTAAATAACAATAGTAGATTTTTTTGCTTTCTTTTGGAAACAAATTAAGCTTGAGTGGAAGATCTCTTAAGATCTCAGTCGTCATGTTAATGCAATGAATTGCAGCAAAAAGAACATGTATCAGCTTGTAGTCTCTCCACTGCTTAACCACAAAAGGTTAGACTAATGTTTTCCCAGCATCCTTACTGTGGCATTCTCTGACTTTTATGCATCAGACCTCTGTTAACATTTTCAGGAGTTTTCCTATTTATTTTGCAAGCGAATTGATGTGTTATTGAATTATTAACATGTTGCTCTTTTTAGAACAGCAAGTTCTTGTTTGCTCTAGGTTAACATTACCCCAGGAGTAATAGTGCAAAAGTAATTATTAGGTTATTAATTTAACAAAGTCTTTTTGATCTAGTTCAATTTTAAGACTAAAGCTATAGACTTCATACTTAATTTTACCATGGGAAAAAAACACCAACAAATCTGTCATAAATCAGAAGAAGTACAAATGCCAGTGGCTTTATAGGAGCAAACATTTTATTGTTAATAACATTTCTAGATAAAAAAGATTTACAGCTCGGTACAACTTCATAATGAAGTTTAAAAGTTTTGTATATTATACATTGCCATATCTACAGGTATGATAGACTGCAGTTCAGGTACACTGGTTATTTGCAGTAGACATGGCGAGAAGGATCTGTGGATGAATTTGTTCAGGGCTCCATGCTGTGACTTATACATTAATCATGAAGCATCATGCTTATGCAAATATGCAGCAGTCTAATTAGTCATACAGAGTAGAACATGGAATAATGTTATGAGCTATTGGGCCTCTGGAATATGTTCGTCAGCCAATTTTCAAAAGCAAAGTAGATCGAAGATGTTTTTTTGCTTTGGAAAACAAATATATAATTGTCTTCTTAGTGCTTATTTCATGCTTTCAATTTTAAAATAAAACCTGACCCCAGTTGGTATGACATTTTCCTAGACACTGAAGAGTGGCTGCAGATATTCTGAATCACTGACAAAGAAAACAAAATGTTCATCCAGAGCCCAGACCAAAAACTTTGAGAATCCTATATTTGGAGAATTTATTCAGCGTGTTTTGTGCATTCTGTCTCGTGAAAATGTTGAGGTTGGATTTAGCACTTTCTTCTTGCTACAACATGTGATTAATCAAAATATTCTGATTTTACTTCTGAGAATTCAACATCTTAAAGATAAATATGCAGAATATTAAGCATTTCACTTTATAATACAAGGTTTCATTGCAGAGATTTGTCCATAAATTACTCTTTAACAAAATTACTATGTGCTTCCTTCTTCCATGAATTTTTGTCATATTTTCTTCACATCTTTTAATAAGATTGGATAAAAATTAAACAGTAATTTACTTACTTTTTTGCAGCTGTTGTAGAGAAAAAGAAATTACTTACAAAACAAGTCACGAGTGTCATGATAAACACAACACAGCACTAAGCAATCCTAAAATAACCATACTTTTCACTAAATAAGCTCATCTTTCTTGATTTATGCATTCTTCACCTGTTCACAGGTTAGTGTGCAGATCAAATTCCATCTATACACACTAGCGAAATACAGAGTGCTGTTTATGTGTACAAAAATAATTATCTCTGACAACAAAAGCGAATGTCTAAAGACTGCCATAGAAAGAGAGAATTAAGACCTATTAACAAAGGTGCCAGTATGCTTAGAAATATCTGAAGATACTCCCTGCTGTGGTGGCCCGTGATGCAAGGGGGTTTTAGTAGAAAATGATGTTCCAGCTGCAGTAGAGCATCAAATAAAAGATAAAGAGCAGAAATTTTAGGTGGTAAGCAAAAGATTTGTCCTTTTTAAAAGATATAAGAAAGAGGGTATGAAAGTGTGAGATTTTGTGATTTTTAAATTGCAGAGGACACATCATCATCTGAATATCATATCACAGGATGATGAGGAGGCTGTCAGTCTTCTTCCTGTCCAGCAGAGGATTATTGGAGCCCCTTACAAAGAAAAGTATTATATATTTTGTTGTATCTCTCTCTATCAGTAAGGCAGCACCAAAGGTGACTTAAAAGAGGGGTTTAGGGTGAGATTTGGCTGTTTGGGGGTTCCTGTGGCCATGAACACCTAAGCACTGCCTTTTGAGGAGTCAGAAGCCCTCGGCAGGCAAACAGGTGAGCAGAGAATGGTGCCAAGAGCAATCGGGGCAGATTTAAACGGCTCCAGAGAGGGTGTGGAACAGAGGTGTGGCATGTCAGGACATTTGCACTGCTGTTTGCACAGGCAGGACAAACAGGAAGGACTCCTCTCTGACCATCTGGGAGCAGCCAACAGAGGCAATAAATAGACTCAGAAAGCAGGTAAGGTAGAGTAATGTTGATCATAGTCCTATGATCTCTCTCAAAATCCGGTTTCTCAAATACATTAACCACTTGGATTTTTGAAGCGTGACTACATTTTAAACAATGAGGTTCAAAAGCCTGCATAGCAAGGAGGACTTTTCAGAAGATTTGGGTATTATTTGACAGATATCTCCAGTTTGTCTCTGTGTATCTATTGAAAGGAGGTGTGTGAATTATATCGACAATAAAATCTTAGTATTTCTGAGTTCACGAAGTTTAGCTTTGCCTTATACAACACATAATTTCATTTTTGCCTTAATCCCTGCAATCTACATCACCTGATCCTTACCTTCTCAAAGAATGAAGACATCAGTCCTCCTCAAACCAGAAAAATTTAGAAAACCTGTGAAAGAAGAAACAATACCACAAGCTGATCAACTGGCTTCACATATATCTGTTCCTTTTATTCAGAGAAGCAGTGTAGCTTTTTAAAGCAGAAATTTCATTAATAGCAAGTTGCAGAAAAATATAATTTTTTAAAAATCTAGACAAATTTGCTCCCCAGTCTTTTAAAAGCATCAGAAATTGTAGCTTAAACCTTTTGAAGTGGTGAGAAAGCGAGACCATTAATTTCTTTGAGTCTGTAAATTGGCTGCTAAGAATAAGTTCCCATGCAGTCCATTCTTTAAATATGTACAAACAACTTGTGTATCAGTGAATAGAGTTGACATTTTAATTTGTTTAGAGTGTCAGGTGCAATTCTTGCTCATTTGGGACTAATTTCTAAAATCTTGACATACCAGGTTGGGTGGAGCTTTGAGTAGTCTATTCTGGTAGAAGGTGTCCCTGCCCATGGCAGGGGGATTAGACCTAAATGGTCTTTAAGGTGCCTTCAACCCAAACAGTCCTATGATTCTATCCTTTTAAAATATTAGGTCAACTTCTACGAAACTCAGCCTGAATTACTTTTGCAGAATTAGGTTAGTAATACTGCTTTTACTGTTCTCATAGATTACTGTCTTTATGAATTAAGTTTCTCTGTGTAGGAATGTCCAGTTGTCATAAACTGTCACAATACTCTTTTTTATTGAGTGGAAAATAGCTTCCTTGCTTGGAGAAAACGTGAAGAGCAGCAAAAAAATCAGTAAACTCTCTTATCTTACTGACATGCTAGTATTACTACTCCTTCAGTGATTAACATTTTATATCTCATTACATACCGCTAAAGGTAATTAACTCTAGAGGTATCTTTATGGGATTACACACCTAGATTACCTACAGGTAATCTATCTGTGTAATCTACAGCTTCTTATTCTGGTACAAGATTATTTTAGTAATGTAGTCGATGGCCTTTATCTTCTAGGAGGAGTACACTGAACTGAACAGTTTCAAATCCTGGGGGGGATCTTGAGGTGATCTGTGACCTCATACTTTTTTGATGCATGTTGAAAAGTAAAGTAAACTTGTGCTGTGTAATTTATATATTTTATTAAAAGGATAACAAGGATACATAAACTTAACTGTATTAATCTAAATTTACTAAGACTACTTATTTCCATTTGTCTTGTGAGAGACCAAATGCTAACTCAGAAAAGTTGTAAATCATCTTACCTATTTTATGCTTTTATCTTTTCCTGAAGGCTCATGCATCTTCTTGAACTCCCTTCAGGTCACATAGTAAAGCATCTTGTCTTCTCTGAAAGTGTATATCAGCTATATATTTTCTCCTTATATCTTACTATTTAATGTTATTGACACTCTTTTTCATTACTCTTTCCATGAAAATAAAATAAAATTGTTAGGGGAAAAAAAAAAGAAATCCCACAGTCTTAATACTGAATTCCTTCCAAAGGACTGCACAGTACTCTGGAGTATCAACCTCTTCTCCCAGTTTTGTGTCATAACCAAACTTACTGAGGAGGTACTCTGCCCCTTCATCCAAGTCTTTTGTGAACAATTTCAGTAGTACTGGCCTCAGTATTGACTCTTGTGGGACTCCACTAGTTACTAGCCTCTAATGAGACACTGTGCCATCAGTCACAGCCCTCTGGGGTCTGCCATTCAGCCAGTTCTCAATCCACCTCAGTCTGCTCATCCAACCTACACTTCCTGAACTTGTCTAATGTAGGGTACTGTTAAGTCCATATTCTCATAATTTCATTAATTAATTTTCTCATTAAAGACAAATTTCTTCTTGCTGCAGAAGGAAAAGGACAAGGATGAGGGTACTGGCCATGGTGTGACTTGGATTATCTATGGAAGACTAGTGACTAGGTTTACAGATGTAAATGGTCTATGTCTCAAGAGGCCTTAGAAAATAACTCTGCTTATCAGGGAAAGAGTGAGACTTTTTGATTCAGAACAGGGTCTACCTTTTTTTGAAGAACTCATTCCCTCTTTCATAGAGTTTCTCCTTAAAAACTCCAACAGTGCCCTTTACTCTTACGGGTATTTCTCATCTGTAAAGAAAGTTACTGTAGAGGGACAGCCAGCTGCCTAGGATTACAAATTACAGCAGAAATCTCCTGCATTAGACAGGTCACTCATCATGACCCCTGACACTGCTGTTTCTCAGAGGTCTTTCTGTTTCAGTTTAGTGTTAAGGATGCATCCTTTTAAGTATGCCACACTGCATTAATATCTCCATTTTTTAATATATTTTATGTTGCTATTTTTGTTGCTCTTTGGAAGACATGTCAGCCTCTTCTTCCTATTTAAAAATATTAGTATCCATAATTTACTCAAATAGAATAAATCACTGTCACTTTATTACTTTATTTTACTTTTTTAGAGTCCAGCCCAGAAGTTTTAAGTCAAATGACTTTTATTTACGGCCAGAGTTTGCTAGTTCTATAAATGTTACCTTGTGTCTTATCATCTCACCATCTTCTATTGATGGAGGGAATAAAACAAAGCTGTGAAGTTTTAATAGAAAGGTTTCTCATGAAAAGAATACACTTCCTCTTGAAACTGGACATAACTGATTATTAAAATAGTGCAAGGATTCTTCTTTGTTTAAAATATGCCTGTCTGTCAGTCTCCAAAATTACTTTTATTCCTACTCAATAAATTCACATATTAGCAGTAAACATTATCTGAATCCATTTGTAAAACATGTAAAATACAATTTACTGTTTACCTTTTCTTTACATGCAGAATTCCAGCCCTTTGGTTTAAATCTGTATTACAATTACAATGTTACCAAACATACTGTGAGTTAAAGACAAACACATTCTTGTAATCAAGATATATTTGAAAGGTTTAGCAACATTATTTTATAAGCATATTTTAATAGGTGCTCCACATTTTAAATTATTTCTTTTGAAAACTGCATTACTGTAAAATCTTCCCATGACCTTTCAGATGTGCAGCTTGCATAAGTCCCTGAAGTGATGCAGCAATAGCCACTGCACTGTTACAAATCTCCTTTGCAATTATAATGCTATCTGTGTATGCATTGGAACTGTTGACAAAACTACATTACAATTTTCTAGAATGCCCATTTAATCATAAATATTCCACAGTCCTGCAGTAGTAATTTAGATGTATTGGGGGTTTTTTGTTTGGTTTGTTTTTTTTCCTCATAGTGCTAAATTAGTTGATTCTTAAAATATTGATTTAGGCCCTTAGGGTTGCACACTGATCTAACCCACGCTTGATGAAAACTGAATTATAGATAAATTCCCCTCCTTACTGGAATAGAATAGCTTAGATATTGAAAGAAAAGTTGGCGACCTATTAATTTTAAAATTGAAAAATTTACTTCTTAGAACTTCTAGAATTTTATAATACTTAAGGTACTCTAAGTTGGACAAAGTTAGCCGTAAAAATATTTGAGCATACCGTCTTCTAAAGAATTCAAAATTATCTTTTATGCAATTTTTCATATGACTAGCAATAGTAATCTTTGCTTAAATCAGAAAAACATACCTTGTATTTTATAAAACAAAACTATCAGTCATGATAAAGGAGTTTATTTGTTGTTCTAAATTTTCAGTAATTACAGTTAATTTGAAAAACACAAATAGGAAGATCTAAGAGAATATTGAAATGGAATATTGCTAACATTCTATTAATATTAAGAGCCTTGTTCATTTACAATGTATTTGAATGTAATTTGTATATTTATTAATATTTTACTGACAATATCCAAAATAAGAAGATATAAAGTATGTTTACGGTAAAAAAAAAAATTATAGTCCAAATTTATTGTATCAATAATTGGGTAACATGAACATAACATGTAAGTCACGACAATTAGATGTAACTGCCTCGTGTATGAAAAAGTACTGATGTATTTCACTTGTGTACATGTTGAATTTATGTGGTATTAGAAATACAGAATTAATTAAAGTAGTACAAAGTGAAGAATTCAATCCTTTGATGACACAATAATGTTAAAGACAAGTAATATGGAAAGGAAAGCCATATAGGAAAGGAGATTTGTATATGACGAGAGAAAGATCCTCTTTTTCCGAAAAGAAATTACCAGATATGCAAGGGAAAGATGTTACACTGATGTTTGATCTATGAATTAGAATTTCAATTTGTCTGAAATTGCCAGAGGAGACTTGTAAGAGCAGTTTCTCAGTTTGTGTGAACTCTATGTCATAATCCTAAGAATCAAGTAATTTACCCTATATTTTGTAAAAAAATCCCCAAACTGTGATTCTTTGGAGATGTTTTATTTCAAGGTACAAACTCTGAGCATTAGATTGCATTGAGATAATCACTGAACAGGAAGAAATAGGTAACTGGGGTAAATTTCTTTTTTATGTTTCCTTTTAGGCCAGATATGCTGCATATCCTTCATAGCATTGTGCCATAATTCTTCCAACAGTAGAAGAATTAGAGTGGGTGGTTTTTTGCAAGAAAATATATACTAGAGAGAGTATCTTGAATCTTGCCTTTTTTTTTTCCTTAATCTAAAGTTTAAGCTATGAATAGATCTACTGCAATATGAACAATCTGTGCAGGAGAAAGGAGACGGGGAAGAAGACAGTTCTATCACTGTTAGC